GTGCGTGAGGGAGGGAGGGAGGGAGGGAGGGAGTGAGCGAGTGAGTGAGCGAGTGAGTGAGTGCTGCAAGCTAGCAGTTAATTGGAATAGATAGTACAGACAAATGGTCACTTCAGTAGTTTCTTACCGCATGCATCTGCATGCGGACATACCTCGGGGGAGAGGGTTCAGTGTTGCTGTCGTGGCCTCTCCGGGGGCTCTTAGCTCAACAACGAGCTACGCCTGCCGGAGCGAATTTAAAACTATTCAAAAGCCACCTGCACATCGCAGAGTCGCAGAGTGCTGAAGCTGATGCTGCTACATTTAGCAGCAATCAGGGTGACTCGAGCGCACGAAAGACTACACTGATCTAGTCTGCCTGAAACCTGCTTGTTGATGCTTTCTGTGCAGTGCCGGTTAAAGCACATAGTGCTTAAAATTAAGGCTCTAGTCTAGTCACACTGGTCAGTCCACTTCTTTTCATGCGCAAGCGAGCATGCAGAATTTGGGAGTTTTCAACATTCGGGCGGCCGTTCACAGGACGCTCCTATCTATGCATCGGTCACAGGTGGACCCTGCACCAACACTCCAACGCGGATGCTCGATGCTCGGTGCTCCAGCACGGAGCTCAGCCACATGCAAAGCAGTTCGACCTCCCCCACCTCAGGCTCTGAGACGTGCCGTCGGTGCAGCGCTGCTCATCCCTACAGTACCTTCCCTCTACTCAGCTTCGGACTTGTATGTAAGCGTTGTCACCTCTGCCGTTACCTGGCCACGGCAGGAGCGGAGCGACGGAGGCACGGCTACGAAGGGAAGTTGCAGGCATGACAATGAGGAAGACGATGGCGCCGGGAAGCGGGTTGGTGGGGGAGATGGCCTCAGTCGCTGGGACATCGAAACACATTTACACCAACTTTTGCTCCGAGAGCTCCACGAAGCGGGACACGTACCATAGGAAAGTCAGCGTCCCGACGGGAATGAGCCTCAGGTTCGCAGACCGCTGATCGCTGCTGTGTCAGATGTCGGGTCTCTTTGGATGGGCGACGCCAGTGATGCTGCCCAAAGCGACACCTGAACTCAGAAATGCTACTGCTACGAGCTGGGGATTGGACTTCACTCAAAGCACAGCTTGCTCCGTTGAGTTCAGCCCACGGCTAAAGTGTCGCAGACGGCCAGCTTGCGCTTTCTCTGCAAGAGGTTCGTCACCTGGTCTGCCAAGATCTGCCACTCTCCGCTCTCTTTCAGCCTAGACACGAGAAGAACTAAAGCCCAACACACTTCCGGTCTGGAGGGTAGACCTCATTCATGGCATGCACTGAGGAGTCAGCCCAAATCACAAAGGCCACAACCAGAGGGCTCGCCTTGCATGTCAAGTAGGCGCCCATCAACACTGCGATTCAGTGGAGGCAACACTTGGGAAGAGCAGGTGCTGTAGACAGTGACAGACGACGAGGCACAGCATGAATCTCAAAGTAGAATGTGGGGAATGCAGGAGTTTGGGAACTGTTTCGGGGTTGCTGAGGGTTGCTGAGGTCCATACACAGAGCCACATGGCAAGTCCTTCGACGACCATGGAGGAGATGTACCACCTGAGCAGAACGGATGCCACTGCCCTTTCCCCAACACTCATATGCCCGGCCGTGGATCTTGCACTCAGATCCGCACACATCTCCACCCTGGATGCTATCTGCCACTATGTCCATATAAGCCTCAGGGAACAGCCAGAATGAGATGCAGCGATAGCCCATGTGAAGTGCTGGACATGCGCAAACTGAGAGCCGCACCCACAGGACAGGGAGCTGTGAGCCCAGCACCCAACGATACGGCCTGTCACGTGCGGCGCGCAAGGGTCTTGGACAGAGGAGGCTGCATTGCCGACACCATGACAAAAGCTTTCAAAATACAAGCAGGAGGTACAAGCCAAAGTGCCCAAGTGACCGCCAGAAGTAGCCAGCCAGCCTTCCGACATGTGCTCCACAGGGATTCGCCCAACTGATGCTCCCAAAGACCACATCAATCCAGTCCAATGCCACTGGCTGGGCGCACTCAGCTTGCACGAAGCTGTCGAAGTCCGTCAAGGTGCCAAACCATGTCATCTGACAGAGGCCACGGCTCCCACTCTAGCTCAGAGCGCACTTATATATCATGTAAAGGTAGACGACTGGCACACAGATTGCAACCACCGATGCTCTAGATTGCTTGTTCTGGGCCCCCGACAATACACGCTTGGATGACCTCTCGATCCTGCTCAGATGCGCAGGCTCAGAAGATGGCAATCGTGCTCCATCGGAATGGCACCCGAACAAGTCAACAAAGCAGTGGACAAAAGCCTTTGACACACTTAGCACCGGGCACAAGCGATCCTTTCACCCGTCTCAGGCAGTCGATGTGACACCTCGAGCAATACGCAAGATCTGAATCTGCGCTCGAAGCCGCGTGCCCGGAGGCCGAGGCGCAAAGGCTGAGCTCAGAACACTACAGCAGTAGCATTGGGCGTTCGCTGCCTGGAACCTGATTCCACACAGCTCAGACTCAGACCTCTTTTCCGGAAAAAGGCAGCCGATCAGAAGACAAAAAACCAAGACTTCTCGCAAGCACCGCTCCCCGGGCTCTGTCTCTGGGGCCCCTCGCTCCGCCAAATGCTGTCGGAGGATGGTCATGTCTCTGTGAAAAGACCTCCCCACGACCCCACGATTTGCTTGCATTTTGGGAAAAGGAAACCCTAAACCCTAAACCCTGAACCCTAGAAAAAATCAGGGCCCTTAAATCACGAGGAGAAGGGCCCCCTGGCCTCAAGAAGTGCACCCCAAGGATGCAGATGATCGACTGGAGAGCCGGCCAGACGGTGATGCTCATCGTCGGGGTCCTCTCCGCAATTGCAACTTTGGGAGAAAGGAGGCCCTTATAGTAATCGTAAAAGTTATAGTGATACTAACAGTAGTTGTAGTGATACAGTGATACTAACAGTAATAGCAATAGTGATACTAACAGTAATAGTAATAGTAAACATGGGGTGAGAGCCAGGCCTCGGGAACATGGTGAGCAAGGCCCAGTTGATGACCGAGGTCCTCGCAGAGACGGGATGGAAAGTCGGGTGACACGGCGTAGGCGTAGCCCTGAGGATGCCGAGGCAGGGGCACCATGAGCCCAAAGTAGACCTGGCATCCCAGATCTGGACTACACAAGTATCCTAGGATCCTAGGCTGCAAGTCGACGGACCGAACTCACAACTAGCCGGTTCCAGCCGGTGCAAATATCACCGGGCGGATCTCCACACGATTCTTCAGGTCATTCCTGCGTCCATGCACAGCTAGCAGCGCACCGAGTTGCAGTCCACTCATACATCGTCTGCTTTATGCCGCAACAGTTTCGGACGGGCACCAGTGCCGCTCATTGCCAAACCCCAGTATCCGTGGCATACCCCCATCCATCCGTCCATCCATGCACGCATGTATGTCCGCATACATACATGCATGCCTGTATGCAAGACATCTGGTAAGGGCTTCTGCAATCACCAAAGGCTCCTGTGGGCCCACGCAAATGCAGCCATCTCGAAGACACACCACAAGCGGGTGGCCTGTGGCTGGCGAAGCTTCATGCGGAGCTCATGCAGCGGGAAGACCAGCACAGAATCGTGTTGGCAAGCGACGTAGCTGGGATCCCACAAGACCAGCATGGTCTTGGAATAGTAGAGGAAAGCACCGATGCTCTCCACACCTTCCTGAAGCTTGCATGCGAAGCGCGTCTGCGGGCCCGCTTCTGCAAGACAGCCCGCCCACCTTTTTGAGCACGGGGTCCTTCTGGTGGATGCAAACCTGGAGACGCAAGAGGACAGGCACGGCTTGTGGAGAGAGTGCGGAGACTCTCCAGCGCCTTGTCCAGAAACACCCTCTGCTTGGGCCGCCAAAGAAAGAGGACCTGCAACGAACACGGGAGATCTTGGAAGCATGGACACAGCCGGCGCATCAACAGGGCAGCCGCACGGAAAGAAAAGCCGTGAGGCCAAAGATGGATGTCCAGGCCTGTTTTTGCAAAAACGAAGGTCGCATACAAAGCGCAGAGGGAGGGAACTGGCCACGGAAAGCTGGGCTACGTGGCCGCATAGAGATAGGTCCCACCCACCACGGCAGACCTCGGAGCTCCCCAAAAACTGAGCTTCCTGGCCCCGGTATATCTTCCCATTACTTGGAGGTTCATGGGTAGTCATAACTGGGGGTAGAAGCAGGGTTACTATACTTATAACCCATATTAGGGGACGTATAACCCCACTTATAACTACCCATGAACCTCCAAGTAGAGATGACCAACTAAGGGGGCCCGGCTCCAGCTTCACGAAATACGGCAAGATGTGCAGGGCTCGCAGAGCCTCAGTGAGGGGCCACGCTTCTGCTGCAGCAGACGCTCCGTCCAAGCTTCCAGCCATCCCAACACCGCCGCTGAGGATGCTGAAGAAGGCAGCCGGCGCCTGGCATGTCTTAACCTGTCCCTTTCCGCCTGGCATGGGGGCTATCATGAATCAGGTCCTGGTTGTAGTAGAGCAGCAGCACCATCACCTTAGACCCCATGACGCACCCGCCAATAGCCTCAACTTCCATCCACTTCTGTTCTCGTCCAACCCTACTGCCTGGCGCAATTGCTCTGAGTCCAAGTGCCTTCAGAAAGGTATTCGCTCGCCAGCTGTGGGACCAGAATTGGTCGATCTCTCCTCGGGGACACGGCCAGAAAGAGGCTGACCAGAGGCCCCACGAAAAGTGTTACCTACTGGGACGACCCGAGCCGAGCATCGGGTCTGGAAGCTCAACATGTAGTCCTGAGTAGAGCACGCCGGAACATGCAGAGAAGGCGTGAACTTAAGAACCCCCTTTTGGGCTGCCTGTGGGCTATGCCAACATATGCCAACCAAATCGTCGAGATCAGATACAGCTAGGATCTGAAGAGCTGGGCCATCGGCATCAAAGGACTCTGTGTGTCGGACGACGTTTTCGGCAGACCTCGAAACGATTTCCGTCGCTGCACAAGGCAAACAAGAGCACATTCACGGGAAGAATAACTAGCCTTGCTAAAGATGGCTAGGCCATGCACTTTGTCTACAACGATTTCAATGATACTGGCGATAAGGATTTGGGAATTGCGTCGACTTCCTCATACGTGCACAGCATGCACAATGAAACCAGCCTGCAGTTTTAATCGACCCCTTTTTCACTATAGGTCCCATTCAGTCTTCCCAAGTGCTGCGCAGGAAGGCTTGCCATTTGCCGGAGACCGCTTAGGCCCCAGCGCCATGGCCTGTCCGATCAGGGATCTCCCGAAGCCCACCCGCGTGGACCTGGCCAGGGAGAAGGTGCCGTCACTGCTTTTTTATAACTGTTAGGAGCAGGAGGAGGAGTAGGAATGGGAATAGGAGTAGCAGCAGTAACAGTGGCAGATGCAGTAAAGAGGCCGGAAGCAAGGAAGGCAGGAAGGAAGGAAGGCAAGAACGAAAGAAATGAAAAATTGAAGAAAGAAATACTGAAGAAGGAAAGAACAAAGAACAGAATACTTCAAGAAAGAAATAACACAAGAAAACAACAAAGCAAAGCAACGAAGAAAAAGACTAAACTAATCGATAAGAACAGACAAGAGGAAAATACAAGACAAGCCACGACAAGACGTTACCGCAAGACCAGACACGACAGGAAGACGGAAGGAAAGGAAGCAAGAAAGAAAATAAGAAGAGAAGTAGGAGGAGGAGCAGAAGGATACGAAGCAGTCTCAGTAGCAGCAGCCCCCGCCCAACCTGCGATCCCGCAAGACGGCTCCCAGATTGACCCTGAGGCAGGGAGAGTCTTGGGCGTTGGAGGCAGGTTAGGTTTCGTGGTAAACTGACTTTGAGGATTGTCTTCGAGGTCGTGTCGGGGTTTCCAGTGGCTTCCTTGTTTGCTGCCCCTAGTACGGTTCTCGGCCAGAATCAACCCGAACCAGCGCCAGGAAATAGAAGCATGGCAGCACACACCCCTGGCTTCCGGAAACCCTGGGCCGCCCGCAGCGGCTTGTAAGCCCTGGTGGCCCGGAGGAGCTGCGGTGAGTTCAGACCTCAGTTGTCTCCGTGTCCAGGAAATCCCACGTGACGAACACGTCAGACTTCAGACTGACGAGGTCTTCCAGCGGATCAACAAAAAAGTGCAGGACAGTCCCCGCACGGCACTGGGACCCCTCACGGAAGGACACCATCGAAGCCAGGGTCCGCCGCTGGCTGATGGACGTCAGCGTCGGCCTTGTGAGTCACGGAAGTTCAATTGAAGGACAGTTTCTGAACCCTAGACCCGGACTGGACTGTGCCGCTGGGTTCCCTGCATTCTCTGCGTGGTCCGGGAGGTGGCACCCAGCATGCTGGACCTTAGATTTGGTTCGGATGTTCTGGAGCTCCAGAGGTGAGGATGAAGGACGGGTGGGTGGTGGAGACTGAAGTCTTGCTCATCTTGGACCACGTCTGCCCTCACTCTACCTGCGCATGTTCAGTGCATCCTGACTGCGCAATCTACCTGTCAGATGGAAGGATGAAGGCCGCTCAATCTGTGTCTCCACAGCAGACACACTGTTTCCCAGCCTAACTCAAAGGCGCTGGAGCCCTCTCGGGCTTTTTTAGGCCTTTTAGCTCCTTCGGTTCAGCGACACTTCAAGCAGAGAGGCAGCTCCGGCTCTTCGCCATCAGTACCTCGCCTCTTCAGCTTCTCGCAGAGTGCCATGGCGTAAGTGCGCAGCTCCTCGGCCTTCTTCAGATCTTGGGCCATCCCGAGCTCTCCCAGGCAGAAGACCTCCGCCAGGTGCATGCACGCCAAGGGATGCCCCCGGCGGCAGGCGCGCCGCATCCAGGCGACGGCCCCCAAATCTCCGCGCTCCCTGAGGCACTTGGCAAATTGGAGCATGGCCTCCGCATCATCCAACTTGTTGGCCGCAATGAAGAGCTCGCTGTATTCCTCATCGAAGTCCTCCGGAAGGGCAGGGCCCCCTTTATCGAAGTCGCCGAGGCGGAAGCGTCCCACCAGCTCGTCTCTCAAGGAGTGCTCTCCGGGCGTGATGCCAGGCAGGTGCCAGGTCACATACAGCAAACGCCGGCGCTTTCCCCCGGCCACGGCAGATGCCTGGGCACCACCACAATGCAAGAGTTGCGAGTTCATGACGTACGCATCACCAGTCTGACAGAGGACCGGGACGCCACCCAGGCGTTCCAACATTTCATCATGAGGCAACTGCATTTTCTGCATGGCATCGAGAGCGCTGTGGTGCTCGTAGTTCTGGGTGCCCGGGCAGAGATATGTGGGGCCCATCTCGACTGTCACGTCCTGTAGGGCAACGAAACAAGTGAACTTGACGCGCTCCAGCGAGGTGTCCGAGTGGAGAGGTTGGTACTCACAGTCCGGGTCGGAGATCATGCAGGAGAGATCGACGAGTCGGCCGTGTCGGGTCACAAACGGCTCCAAGATCTGCCCCAACGAGGCAACCATCCGCTCGAGCACTTCCCTGACCTCATCTTCCAGAGGCAATGTGAACTCGATGCGGTCTCGTCGGGTTGCATAGGCCAACCTGGCAACGCAGCACGCCAGAGATGACACCGGGTGCATGGGGATCCAGCACGGACGGGCCTCCGGAAGTAGGAGCGACGGCGCGCGTAGCGCGCATCTCCGTCTCCCGACAGCTCCACGTGCCTCTGGGCAGCGGCAAGGGCGTCATCGACGTAAGCTGCCAGTCGCCTTGGCTGTGCAAAGCCAGCACAGCTCTGCTGACAAGCGCCTGAAGATGACTTACATAGGATTCGGGGATGCACATGTTCCAGCATCGGGTGCACTGCATTCACAGAGCATGGCATGTTGTTGCGGCACCTCTCATCTTCGAGGTCTACAGTGGTCTACAGGATTCCGGCCTAAGGCCTGGTTGTTATCAATGCGACGACAGGCCTAGACACTGGCAGCAGCTGGCTGGGACGGCATGCGAGACGAAGCAGCAGCCTTGGTCTGAGAGGTTCTTCACCACGTCCGCGGGTCTGGAGATCGCGTCCTCGACATCGTATAAGTACACCTAGGCGTGGCCAGGCGGAAGCGGATGCTTCTGAATTCTCGCACGAGCCCCCTATTTCTTGCAACTGTTGCAACTGCTACCTGCAGCGACAAAGGAAACGCCGGAAGCCGAGAATCTCGGCACTAGACTGAAAGCAAGGGACAGGTGAAGAAATCTGCAGCTGTTGAAGACTCTTCTTGGCACCCGCGGCAACGACCTGTGAGCAATGTTCCCGCGGAGGATCATCTTTCTCAGAAGGTGTGGCAGCCGCCGGAAGTCCTGTGCATGCGACTGAGTCTGACTGGCTGCGGGCTTCGGGTTGAGAGCCCCAAACTCCAAGACAGTACGCACAGAGTGCGCAGCACAGAACTCTGCGCAGACCTTCAGTAATCCCTTCGCCCCAATATTAAATGGGGGACCCCCCCAATTGAAACTCCCAAAATGTTTTTAGTACTAGGGGGTGTTTTTATCTCTACCTTTTGAGGGGTCGTGCTCCTGCTCCTTCTCTGCTTGTCGTTTGCTCCCGCTTCTGCTGTGTCTCTTGCCTCCTGCTCTTGCTGTTGCTCCTGCTCTTGCTGCTCTTGCTCTTACTCCCGCTATTGCTGTTGCCTTGCTCTTGCCTCCTGCTCTTGTTGCTCCCGCTTTTGCTGTTGCTCCTGCCCTTGCTCTTACTCCTGCTCTTGCTCTTGCCTTTGCTCTTAGTCTTGCTGTGTTCTACGGGTCATTTGGAGCATTTTGGAGCCTCGAAACCTTCCCCTCCTAATTCAGAATAGGCTTTAAAGGGCAGGGATAATTTCGGGAGGATTGGCCGGGTGGGGTTTAATAAGTGGGGGAAGGGATTATTTATTCCTTCAGTGATCCTGCCTCCACAGGATTGCAGCTGGGGGCAGGCGTTGGGCGGAAGGCTCAAGAAGTCGTGGCCCAAGCTGCGAGAGGAAACCATCTGTCGGCTCGCGGGGGTCTAGACTTTCATCGAACTTTACCAAAAAGTCTGCTTTGCTGTTTGGCTTGTGGCTTCGAGCCTGCTGACGCTGTCCTGCACATTCTGCATCAAAGCGTGGCTAAAAAAAAGCCCCGCATCGCTACCAAGCTTCGCCGATGCTCTAAACCTTCTGCGAGGACGATCACTGGAGCCGCTCGAACATCCCCCAAGAAGAGGCGCAAGGCTCAAGGAGAGGCCGGGCCTTGAACTCTGGGGAAGAGCCAACAAAAACCCAATTACCCATACTATTTTGGGGGTTCCTTACTTTCACTAGAGTATAATATACCCCTTTTGGGGGTTCCTTACTATAATTAGAGTATAATATACCCCAAAACCCTATTCTATTAAGCCGACTCCGCTTCGCTTGCTCTTTTGGGCCCCGGCAGCGAGGATCCGGCCCGAAGGATCCGCGAGACCGCGCTGGCGGCCCTCGCCAGCACGCTGCCTGCGGAGAAGAGGAGAAGAGCCATCAGGGTTCAGGGTTCAGGGTTTAGGGTTTAGGGTTGAGGGTTTAGGGGTAGGGGGGCCACAGGATGCCATGAGATGTCATGGGGAAGTGGGCTGGGGAGGAGTTCTGCCTCCCCCGGCGGAGCGGCCCTCCGACTGGCCGTCGGGATCCTCGAGGTCGATATGCAGCTGAGCCATGGCCGCCCGCGTGGCCGCCGCCCTCCGGGCGTTGTGGGACCTTGGCCGGCTCCCCAAGGTGCAAGGAGGGCAGAGAAACCTGCGGCCTACCAGGTTACCAGGCTTGGGATGCTGCAGATGGCTGAAGGAGCTTCGGGAGCTCCTGCTGGTCATACTGCGATGACCTGCACCACGCGGCGAAAGCCGAGCCCCATTGTCACGCGAAAGACTTTCTGCCGGAGCCTGAATTAGGTGTCTTCGGTGTCTTCGGACTCGTGTCCTCCACCTCGTCCTCAAACACTCTTGCACATCAAATTGGCGTCTGAATCTGCATCGGAGATCACGAAGCACCAGAGCACCTGATTCCAGTTCACCCTGCTGCCCTTCGCAGTGCTCGCTAGGCTTTCCTCGATCCGAGCTGCACTCCGCCACTCTGCCCGAGGCTGCTGCAGTGCTTCAATGCTGAGCTTTCCGCAGCAGGTAAGGAGGTGCTCTTGGTCGACTCCTGATGCACTTTGTGATCCGTCCTGGTCAAGTGCTGTCACATTGCTTACATAAGTGAGGGAAGTTCGAAGCAGCACGTTGGGCCCTGGCCCTTTGCGCATGTCTGGAGTCTTTAAGGTTCTGGTCGTTCTAGTTCCGACCTCAACATGTCACAGACGGGGCTAGATCGGGGCACCCTTTGACGAGACGGGCGCCCGGCCACAGTGCCTGACCTTTCTTCATGGTCCTGAAGGTTAGAGCTGCCTCAAGTGTCCTGAAAACCTGAAAGTTGGACCAGACGTCCTCCTCTTCTTCATCGCCTGAGCACCGAGAAAATGATCCACGACTGCACGGAGCTTGAGCCGGGTATGGAATGCGGACACTGGCCTTCAACCACGCCCCAGACGCTCGTTCTCGCGCTTTGCTCTCGCGTCTTGGTATCCTGGCGGAAGTCTGAAGGTAAGGCGATCGCATTGAACCTTCAAGCCTTATACGCAATGTGGAAAGCCTCGGATCTCCAATGATCGTGGAGAGTCACCTCATCTTCAACGGGCCTCGAGCAATGAGACCTGCTCAGTGGCTCTGTGATACACGAAGCAAGGCAAAGGCTGCCTATGTAAATGACAAGCGAGCTGAGGCTCATCATGATCATGAAGATCATGGTGGTGATGATGATGATCAGATACGAGTAGTGGTGATGATGATGATTATGATGATCGTGGTGGTGGTGGTGGTGGT